CCTCTTTGGGAAATTCCTTCAGCAGTTCAACCCGGGCTTTAACTGCTCGTTGCCCCGCCCTCCATTCCCCCCTACCGCCTCTCACCCCACAGGGTGACACATTGCGCCTCAGTGGCTGACCACCTCAATCTCATCGTGGACTCCCTTCAGCAGCTCAACCCGGGATTTAACTGCCCCTCCCCACTCCCCTCACCGCTCCCCTCACCGCTCCCCTCGTCGTGCTCGCTGTGCATCAAGTGCTACAAACTGATGGACTGGTGGGAGACCAAGTGCGTTATCAACAGCACCGGCAGCAGCAGGGACAGTGGCACGCTTGTTTTTGAGGAGATCCGCAATCCGGTATCCCGTCCAGTCATGGCCTGGCTGCATCAGGCCAACCCTTGGCTGGTTTGCAGCGACACACTGCCTGCTGAAGGCATAGCGGTGCGTTTCCCCGACTAGCGTGAAAGGGTTTCGAGGCGTCTAGAAAGGGCATGCTGGGAATGTGACTCATCCACCCGCTCATGTCCCATTGTCCCTGGTGTGGCTTAGCGAGTCAACCCAGGGCTGGCATGCAGCAATTCGCTCCCTGCTGCCAGTGTGCAATGCAAGTGAGTGTCATAAACATCGGTACAGAACGTGTGCTGGCGTGACAGAATGTGCAGCTGGACTACAGATTCTCCCATGCATTGCTGTGCAGATGGTCCTGCAGGGTGTTTTTGAGAAGTCTCAAAAGCCTTCTTTTTGAAATGCATGAAGATTGATTGCCTTCTGCCATCGGTTGCCTGATGCTGCTTCTTCTTGTCGTGGTGTTTGTTTGGCTGCAGATTTGTGTACATTTGTCTCTGCCTACTATGTTGGGCGAGTGCATTTCGGGGAAGTCGAAGCCGTACGGAGCATTGGCCAAATGGCCATATGTCTTCAACAAGTCCTTTCGCGGAAGCAGGACGCTCTATGAAGAGTACAACAGACCTTGTGCAGGCACCATCGGAGGAACTTTTGGTAAGGCAGAGAGGGTCTGTCTGCCTCCATAGCTATGGTGGAGGCACCATGGGAGGAAATTATGATGGACCAATGGAAAATCCGTTAGCCATTGCAGCTACTGCAGCCAGTGGCAGCGTCAGAAAGATCTAGCCTCTCCAGCTGTGGCAGCATCAATAAGATCTAGCCTCTCCAGCTGTGGCAGCGTCAGTAAGATCTAGCATCTCTAGCTGTGGCAGCGTCAGTAAGATCTAGCCTCTCCAGCTGTGACAGCGTCAGTCTAGCCAACCAGCTGTGGCAGCGCCAGTAAGATCTAGCCTCTAGCTATGGCAGTGTCAGTAAGATCTAGCCTCTCCAGCTGTGACAGCGTCAGTCTAGCCAACCAGCTGTGGCAGTGTCAGTAAGATCTAGCCTCTCCAGCTGTGACAGCGTCAGTCTAGCCTCTCCAGCTGTGGCAGCGTCAGTAAGATCTAGCCTCTCCAGCCGTGGCAGCGTCAGTAAGATCTAGCCTCTCCAGCTAAGGCAGCCTGTAGAGGTGGTTGATGCCCTCTGCACTGAAGCCTGATGAGTTGATCCCCTCCTTGTCTCGTCCAGCTGCACGCCAAGTGCCTCTGTTCTCTGGGCATGAACCCCTTTCATCCTCATCATCTGAGCCTTGCTTTCAGCCAACTCGTCCTTCCCTGCTTCGAGTGCCTCCTTCACTGCTGCCAATCCCCTCCTTGTCTCTTCCAGCTGCACGCCAAGTGCCCTCATTCCCACCTCTAGAGCCTCATCCATACCCTCTTCTCCCACTTGCTGCCCTAAAGCTATCACAGCAGCCACACTCCCTCTCTGCAATCCGCACCTGCCAAGCTCACTTCGCATGGCAACTAGGGAAAGCTCATCCGAACATGTAACATTATGGTACACCAATTTTCCAGACATTATAATAAAACTATGAGACTAGCAGGAAGATTTCCATAAGGAGATTGAAGGGGAGAGGACAAGGAAAGTCAGCCAACTTTGACTGAAGGGAGAAAAAGACTAGGGCCAGGGGTTGTGAAACGCAACTATAGAGCATGGAATAACAAGCAGACACATAAGGGAACGAACGAGGAACTGGAAACATGAGGATATCGACAAGACAATACGAGGACATGATTGCTTGACAATTCACGGCAATTCGGATTCTATTCTTGTTTGTAGGTTAAAGGATAGGCCAATGTTTGCATGCAAGACAAGAATACAAGAAATGGACGTATTAGTATGACATTGCAGGAGATTGACGCAACGGGCTTAGAATGTTGCAAACGTAGGGGGTAAGATGGGGCCAGCTTGGCTTACAGGGATTTGTGGAGAAGACAATTGCCTGTAGCACGGTGAGGGGAGAGGAGATGGGGAAGAGGGAGGAGAAAGAGGAGGGCGACGAGCGTTTATGAGGGCTGGGACTGTTAAGTGTGAGCCCAAGATTGGTGCACTAAACAAGGATCTATGGCCTTGAGAGGCTGCAGAAGTATTAGGTTTAAGTTGGCCCAGTGAAAAGGCTGTGTTCAAGGTGCAGTAGCACCGCCAGCCATGGGTTGGTGTCTCATGGCATACCATGCAAGGTGACTCATGGCATAGCATGCAAGGTGACGCATGGCATACCATGCAAGGTGCCTCACGGCATACCATGCAAGGTGCCTCACGGCATACCATGCAAGGTGACTCACGGCATACCATGCAAGGTGCCTCACGGCATACCATGCAAGGTGACTCACAGCATACCATGAATGACACGACTACACTCTTCAGCTTCATAAGCCTAGTGTTTAGAGCCAAACCCCGTTGATGCACCCATGCTCTGACTTGCGCTTGAGAAACGTCAATCCACCAGAGCAGTACTGTGAGATGGACAATAGCTGAATACAGCATGTGCACCTGAGGTGGGGAACACTATAGGGCTGATTTGCGGCATGCCACGATTGTGATGCACCCATGCTCTGACTTGTGCTGGAGACACATTCATCCACCCGAGCAGTACTGTGAGATGGACAATAGCTGAATACAGCATGTGCACCTGAGGTGGGAAACACCATAGGGCTTATCTGCGGCATGCCACGATTGTGATGCACCCATGCTCTGACTTGTGCTGGAGACACATTCACCCACCCGAGCAGTATTGTGTTGTCTTTCATTTTATTATCATTCACTCTTTCACAGTTTTGCCATTGCCCTCCGCGCTATGCGGCAGTTTCATTCATAACACCTACGATATTCCATTTCTCAGCAAAATCATTTACCCTAAGCCAATGACGGATATTAACTACACACAAAACTTTTCTTAACACTGGAGGTAGTCTAACTCAAATAGTTCGCTTCCAACTCTTCTGACCAGTGGAAAAAGCCCTGCGAAAAACTCGTAGCGACAAAAAAAAATGATCCACAAGCAGCCACCACACTCTACACTGCTCATATTAGAGAATGCATTGTTCAATTATATATTTTGTTATATAATTGGTAGGCTTGGTAGGTGTTACTGAAACCTACTGAAGAGGGTACAACCCCCCTCCTTGTATGCCTCTCTCTTCTATTCTCGACCACTTTTCTCTCGTCAACTTTCTCCTTCCTAAACCTCACGCCATTACATGGCTTCCCTCCTACCTAGCTTAGTTTAACATGCATTGCATAAGCATACAACCAACGATCTCAGTTATCGGAATACTACTACCCACCCTGATGTCACGAAGTGCCATCTTCACAAGAGTTTGCAAGCTATCCACATTCGTATGAACAAATTTTAACAGAGGCAGTGCTTTCAGGCAGTCCACACCTTTCTGAGAAATAGAAGAATTCCACAGCTGTACCTTCTCCAGTGCCGTCAAGCATGTGATATACTCCATTCCAGCATCAGTAACTCCTGGCGGCACATGAAGCCTATAGAGCTTGGCCAGGGAGGTCAGATGCTGCAACCCATCATCCTTCACCCCTGTCGAACTTAGCCGGAGGTCCTCAAGGCTTGTCAGCCTCCCTACATGCACCATGCCAGCAGATGTGACACCATGACATTCTTCAAGCCAAAGGGTCGTGAGTGAGGAGAGGCTTGTCAAGTGCTGCAGGCCCGCATCAGTCACTTTGGTGTCACTTCGAGATAACCAGCTGAGATGCTTCAGTGCCCCGATTCCTTCCAAAGACCTGCCTGAAACCAGTGTGGAAGTGAAATCTAGCCTCTCCAGCCGCATCCACCTGTAGAGGTGCCTGATGCCCACTGCACTGAAGCCTGAGGATCCACTCAGATTAAAGCTTCTTAGGTGTGTCGTGATGGATACATGGCTGAGGATGCTGTCTGAAAGGCAGGAGTACTTTGTGAGACTCAGCCAGGGCTCCTGTCGTGGCTCTGTTAGCCTGTCAGGAATCAGCCAGGGCTCCTGTGAATAACTTAAAAAATAGAGAAATTTTCAGTAAAGGACTGTCACACATACCTGCCAGGCTTCTTTAAGACTCCCTCTGCTCGTTCCGATCTCGTCCTCCAAGGAGGCATCTATAGATGCCCATCGCCACTGCGTCACAACCCCCAGCTCTGCCTTCACTGTTGCTAACTCTCTCTCCCTCTCCCCCACCTGCCCTTTCATCTCAACTCCGTTGCTCTGTTCCTCTCTGTCTCCTCCAGTTCCCTCCTTGTCGCTTCCAGCTGCACTAACATTGACCCCTTGCTTTCAGCCATCTCCCTCTGCACTGCTGCCAGTTCCCTCCTTGTCTCTTCCAGCTGCACGTTAAGAGCCCTCACTTGCATCTCCGTCGCCTCTTTCAGCTCATGCACACCCACTAGCCGGCCCAAAGCATTTCCAACAGCTTCAGTTACGCTCTGCAATTTGAATCTGCGAAGCTTAGTGTACAAGAAAGCACGGAATTGCACACGAATAAAAATAGTGAATAGAGATGTGAGTCAAAGTAGTGAAATACAGAAAAATTATGAAACGGGATATGGTGACACGAAAACACGAGGACATATAAGAACCATAAAAACTGTAAGGCAAGGCCAGGCCAGGCCAGGCCATGGAACAGGGAGACACAAACAGTGTGCGTATAGGGATGGGGATGTGAGTTCCAGTAATATCAAAGGTTATAAGGACATGGCAACATGAGAATACAAGAGCTCAAAGTTTGGAATTAAATTACTGGCTACAAAGGCTCATAACAGAAACAAGAGTTTAAAGGGTGCGAGTGTGTATCCTCTGGCAAGGGGGAAGCAACAAAACCATCAGCAGATAGAAACATCAGGAATAGAAATATGCACCATAACATACACTCAAGAAAAGGAGAGAGAGAGAGAGAGAGAGAGAGAGAGAGAGAGAGAGAGAGAGAGAGAGAGAGAGAGAGAGAGAGAGAGAGAGAGAGAGAGAGAGAGAAAACAACAACAACAACAACCGAGAAGGTGGTGATTCTCACATTAGTTTGTGGAGCAGAGGGACGATCCCATGAAGCTGTAGCATGGATAGGGGAGAGACGATGACAGAGTAGGGAAAAACAACCAGAGGATAGAGCAGACATGAAGAGCCATACGAAGTGGGGAAGTGGGGAAGGAGCCAGAAGTCGCGGAAGCCAAACGAGTTAGGCCAACAAAAAGTTTCTCTGGCGTACCTTACAGTACCTCCTTTCTTTGTTTAGCTCCCTCTGGCATACGAAAGCATGCGTCAAGAAGTAGGAGGAGGAGGTAAAGCGTTTGAGGGAGCATACCATTGCATTCTTCAGCTTCCAGAGCATGGTCTTCACAGCTATGGTTTGCCCACAGATCCATGCCTTGACTTGCACGTCTAGGGATGTTAGAGTGAGTGTAGGACAGATGCCGCAAACAGAAGGACGAGGGAGTGAGAGATGGGGATGGGACTGGGCGGCGCGAGCAGAGTGAAAGACGAGGCAATGGACGGGGAGAGACGCGAATGGGAGGGACGGAATGCGAGATATGCAAGCAGGATGATCCGATTATGCGGGGAGGAGATGGGGAGGAGATGGGAATGAGCCATGCGGCATGAGGCAGGGCCATGCTGCGGAGCCGGATTAGGCGTGAGGGGGGCGTGTTAAGAGGGAAGGCGTCGGTGACGGGGAATATAAGAGAGTGACACATGGCGCAGCGTGACACTATCGACAGCTGGACTGGACATCATCGACTGAGAATGGAGGCAAGAAAGACGAGGCAAGACGCAGAATTTTAGGCTCTTGATAGAATCCCTTGCCGTCGAGCGCCAAACCTGCACAGCATATGGCTCCACTCAGAGTTGATGCTACAACGGGTACAAAGAGACGAGCGCTCAAAACAGCAAAATGAACGAATGTGCTCTAAGATTTATTATAATGAATCATAGAGGAAACACAACATCGCAAATGATGATGGGAAACGCCAATTATATAGCGAACAGTACTAATATTCTGTTTGATGCATATTATTTTAGCTTGCATCGATAATATTTCCCCATTCTTGATTAAATTGTTGAATTACGGACTACATGCTTAGATTTGTGGATTTATGACATAATGGAAGTTAAATCTAAGTTCAATCTATTATGTATGTATGAAGTGTACCACCTAGGTCCTTACCCAGAAGGACGGCCAGTATCCTCCCAATCCACGGCCAGCTGATCAAATTCGCTCTAGGCCAGTCAGCCTCCTATCTCAGCTTAGGAGCCTCTCGGCATTCCCGTGGATGCTGAGATCGAAGCATCTGTGACTCTCGGATCTGCGTGCACGTTACCTTGTCTTCTCCGATACTTCAGCGCGTGTTGTCATGGCGATCAGTTAGCCTGAGTGATCGTGCCGACCGGCACTAGGTTCACCATTCAACTGACATCAACTGGTGCTCTAGGCTCAAACTGGTCACATAGTCCACTTTATTCTCGCCGTCTTACCTTGTCCGCCACTAGCTGTGCGCCTGGATTGAATAGCTTCCACAGATCGTCACCTAGCTCCGCTATTCGGCCAGAGGGTGGTAGATTAAGGTTAGATCAACGCGTACGAGATGGAGGTATTGAACAGATTAAAGCTGCTGGACGCGTATCCGAAGATCAACGAGGACTTCTACAGCCGTACGCTGTCCGGGGGAATCATCACCCTCGTTTCATCTGTCATCATGACGCTGCTGTTCGTCACTGAGCTCCGTACGTATATTGCTGTCCGGGGGGTATCATCACCCTCGTTTCATCTGTCATCATGACACTGCTGTGCGTCACCGATATCATGTCACATTTCCCGTACCTTACATTCATCTCGGTTAATCGCCTAAGATCGTGCAGAGATCCCTCATCGTTTTCCTCATGGTCCCTCATTTCCCTACTTTTCAAGCGTGAATCCCTGCCGCCCTACCCTTCGACTAAGACGCCTGGGAACCACGCTGCACGCACCAAGCCGCTCGTCCACCCGTGCTCCTGCCATTCTCCACCCCGCCATTTGCTTTCTCCTCTCCCCATTTTCCCGCCATTTGCTGCCATACATTCCCCTCCTCATTTTCCCATTTGCTTTCGGCATTTGAAATCCAACCCTTTTCCCCCTCCTTTTCTTTTCGCCTTTCAAGCAGTAATCTATCTCCGGCCGCCAGTGGTGAACGAGCTCTCAGTGACATAGAGACATCGGCTATAGTCTACAGAGACTTTGAATATAGTCTATAGAGACATTGCATATAGTCTATAGAGACATTGGATATAGTCTATAGAGACATTGGATATAGTCTATAGAGACATTGGATATAGTCTATAGAGACATTGGATATAGTCTATAGAGACCGCTTCATTCAATTCACTCTTCAACCATTCGTTTCCCGCTCCTCCCTCTCCCTTCCATCCGCTCCTCACAGAGATCTTCCTCCGGCCATCAGTGGTGAACGAGCTGTCGGTGGACATGTCACGGGGAGAGACGATGAGAATCAATGTGAGTGGCTTGGAAAGGGAGAGTCCGCCCTCTCCCCTCCTCCCCACCTTCCCCTTTTCCAGCTGGATGTGACCTTTCCGCACCTTGGCTGCGCCATTCGCAGCCTGGACGCCAAGGATATCAGCGGGGACCACTGATTACCCTCATTCCTCCCTCTTTGGCGCCCCAAACCCCCCCCCCCCTTACCCCACCCCACACCACCAAACCCCCTCCCCCCCCCCCTCGCCTTCCCCTTTTCCAGTTGGATGTGACCTTTCCGCACCTTGGCTGCGCCATTCGCAGCCTGGACGCCAAGGATATCAGCGGGGACCACTGATTACCCTCATCCCTCCCTCTTTGGCGCCCCAAACCCCCCCCCCCCTTACCCCACCCCACACCACCAAACCCCCTCCCCCCCCTCCTCGCCTTCCCCTTTTCCAGTTGGATGTGACCTTTCCGCACCTTGGCTGCGCCATTCTCAGTCTGGACGCCATGGATATCAGCGGGGACCAACACCTGGACGTGGTGAGCATCTTTTTACCGCGTTATTGTCACAAATGACTCTTTCGTTGAGGCAAGGTCTCCATTTTCAGGCTGGACGTTATGGATGTGAGCGGGGACTAGCACCTGGGTGGTTGTGGTGAGCTTTCTGGAGCCCCTTTACTGTAACAAATGTCTAATGCACCCCCTACACCGTCACAAGTGACCCCTGAGTTGACTCGAAGCAGCCATCCTCAGCCACCATACTCTGCCTTCGAGTGCATCAACCGCTTTTGAGTCGACTCAAAAGCCATCTCAAGTGACCCCTGAGTTGACTCGAAGTAACCATTCTCAGCCACCATACCCCATTGAGTCCCCCGGACTGCATCAACCTCCCTGCCTCTGTTTCGGTCTTTCCTTGAGGGCCATACTGAAGAGTAGTCAGCTAACCTGAAGCCCTGCTTCCACCAGATTTATCTTTACGGTTCTTATTGCTTCCCACGCCTTGTTCTGATCCGTCCGTGTTCACCCTCTTTACGTGCACAATGTGTACAAGAGGTGGCTGGGAAAGGATGGGCGCCCCGTAGAGTCACACGGGACGAAGCACGAGATGGAAGAGAAGCACGAGCCGATCAAGATCAAGGACAAGCACGTAGTATTTCCCCGCTTTGAACCTTCTCTTCTCCCCCACTTTTCCCCCCTTCAGGTGCACAATGTGTTCAAACGCCAGCTGGGGAAGGATGGGCGCTTGTTAACCCTGTTCCCTCGCCCCTTCCCCCTCCCCCCCTCCTATTCCTCCTCCATCACCGCCTTCAGGTGCACAACGTGTACAAACGCCAGCTGGGGAAGGACGGGCGCCCCATAGAGGCTCAAGGGACGAAGCACGAGCCAGTGAAGATCAAAGAGAAGCATAGATGCTTACCCTGCCTCCAATTCCATGTGCCCCACTTCCCCCCCCTTCAGGTGCACAACGTGTACAAACGCCGACTGGGGAAGGACGGGCGCCCCATAGAGGCACAAGGGACGAAGCACGAGGTGGGGGAGAAGCACGAGCCGGTGAAGATAAAGGACAAGCACGGAGAGGAGGTGGATGAGAAGCTGGAAAACTTCTGCGGCAGTTGCTACGGTGCTGAAGAGGTGAGAGCGGTGCAGTGCGGTGCTGGGTGATCAGGTGCGGTGAAGAAGGTTTGAATGAGGGGCTGTATGGTTAGTAGGTTGGGGGAGAAGCACGAGCCGGTGAAGATAAAGGACAAGCACGGAGAGGAGGTGGATGGGAAGCTGGAGGACTTCTGTGGCAGCTGCTACGGTGCTGAGGAGGTGAGGGCAGTGCAGTGCGGTTCTGAGGGTTGTGTGCAGTTGTGAGGGATTGATTGCGGTGCTGAGGGATGGAGTGCAGGGCTGTGTGGTGAGTGAGGTGGGGGAGAAGCACGAGCCAGTGAAGATCAAGGACAAGCACGGGAGGAGGTGGACGAGAAGCTGGAGAATTTCTGCAGCAGCTGCTACGGTGCTGAGGGGGTGAGAGCGGTGCTGAGGGGTGATGTGCTTCTTGAGGGTTAAATGGTGTGCTGACTAGGCTCCCGCTTCTCTTCCACTCCTCCCTACTTTCCCCCTTAACACAATGTGCGCTCATAGCACGAGCATGAGTCATGACTGCTGCAACATGTGTGACCAAGTGAGGCAGGCCTTCCGTCCCTTTCATTCTCACCTACATATTGACCCTCCCCCCCGCCCTCCCCCTCCTCCTCCCCTGCCCACCCCCCCCCCCCCCACCCCATATCACGAGCATGACTCCTGCAACACGTCTGACGAAGTGAAGGAGGTGTTCCTGTCCCCTTTTGTCTCACATACATGTTGACAGTTGAACCTTCCCCCTCCCCCTTCCCCTTCCCCTTCCCCCTCCCCCTCCCCTGCCCCCCCCCCCCCCCCCCCCCCCCACACACACAACCCACAGCACGAGCATGACTGCTGCAACACGTGTGACGAAGTGAGGGAGGCGTATCGCAAGAGAGGCTGGGCGTTCACCAACCCAGACTCAATTTCCCAGGTATTTCCCAGGCCGGCTATGAGTAGGGCGTAGGATGAAGTGGGAGGGGCGAATTGGAAGAGAGGATGTGGCGCTTACCAACTCTGTCTCAATAGAACAGGGCATTGAGTTCTATAGAGCGTCAGTGTAACTAGTGTCCGTACCATGTGTCCGTTCCCTGTTACACGTACTCTACTGGGTGACACTTATAAGGCACTATACCCTGTATAGCCATCTTATTCCCTGCCTCATTATTGTTGTTGTGTTTGTTGAATCTGCGGTCTTGTCTCTGTCGTCCCAAAGTGTTACAGTATGGCGTGTGCTCTTTGTGCCCGTACCATGTGAGAGGCCCCCACTGTAGCTGTGTGCTTGCATGGCGGCCAGCAACCCCAACAACCCCAGCCTTGTGCAAGTACCAGGGGCATGCCGTCGCCTTGTCCTCGTATCGTGATCTTATCCGTGCCATGTTGTTGCTGCAATGCTTATCATTGCCTTGGATTTCGACACTCCCACAGTGCAAGAAGGAAGGCTTCAGTGAGGCCATCAAGGCGCAGGAAGGCGAGGGGTGCAACATGTATGGCTTCCTGGAGGTAAAATATGCAGGGTATGGATTTATGCATATCGATGGGCTTGTCTGCAGAGTGAGGGGTACGAAGGATTATATAGGGGTGCAAAGGAGTATATTGGGGGATGCAAAGGAATATAAGGGTGCAGAGGAGTATGGAGGGGATTAAGTGCAAAACAAGGTGGCAGGGAACTTTCACTTTGCACTGGGAAACAGTATCCAGCAGGCAGACATGCCAACAGTTTCACAACATTTTCACTTTGCGCATGACCTCTGCCTTTGGGACGTGCGTGCGCTACCTGCATTATTTCTTTGCCGTGTAGGTCAATAAAGTCGCAGCACACGTAATTTCTTTTTTTGCGCCTGGAAAGAGTTTCCAGCAGGCAGGCATGCACGCGCATGCATGACCTCATGCCTTCCGTCCGTGGCTCTATCTCAAAGTAGCAACTGACTGACTCCCTCCTCCTGCATGGGTTCTCTTTGTCCTCTCAGGTGAACAAGGTGGTGGGGAACTTCCATTTTGCACCCAGAAAGAGTTTCCAGCAGGCGGGCATGCACGTGCATGACCTGATGTGATGGCATGACCTGATGTGATGGCATGACCTGATGTGATGGCATGACCTGATGTGATGGCATGACCTGATGTGATGGCATGACCTAATGTGATGGCATGACCTGATGTGATGGCATGACCTGATGTGATGGCATGACCTGATGTGATGGCATGACCTAATGTGATGGCATGACCTGATGTGATGGCATGACCTGATGTGATGGCATGACCTGATGTGATGGCATGACCTAATGTGATGGCATGACCTGATGTGATGGCATGACCTGATGTGATGGCATGCCTGGCTCATTCCCAAAGTAGCAGCTGATCCCCCCTGCCTGCATGCTCGCCTAACCTTCAGCAGAACAAGGTCGCAGGGAGCTTCCACTCCGCACCAGGGAAGAGCTCTCAGCAGGCGGGCATGCACGCGGATGACCTCATGCCGTGACGCTCATTCTCAAAGTAGCAGCTGATCCCCCCTGCCTGCATGCTCCCCTAACCAGCAGCCTACAGGTGAACAAGGTCGCAGGGAACTTCCTCCACGTACCAGAGAAGCGCACTCAGCAGGCGGGCATGCATGCACATGGATGGCCTGATGCTGGTTGGACTCCTTGTGCCACCTACACTTCGCCCCCCCTGCATTGTTCTCGTCCCTCCATCCCTCCCTCCCTCCCATGCAGGTGAACAAGGTGGACGGAAGGAGCTTCCAGCAGGCAGGCGTGCACGTGCGTGCACGTGCGTGCATACCTCATGCCTCGCTTACCTCATTGTGCCATACATGTCTTACCTGCAATACCCCGTTGCTCTCAGGTCAACAAGGTTGCAGGGAACTTTCACTTTGCTCCGGGGAAGAGCTTCCAGCAGGCAGGCTTGCACGTGCATGACCTGATGCCTTTTCAACACATGACATTCAATGTAAGCTGTTTATTATCCATGTAAAAGCCGCGTGTAATGAGTCTGCTTTTGAGTCGACTCAAAAGCATGTGCATGACCTGATGCCTTTTCAACACATGACATTCAATGTAAGCTGTTTAGGGATATTTGATTCTTAGTAAGCTGAGGTGAGTGAGTGAGCCTACCTTGTCACGTACAAAGCATGTACTTCTGGTATAAAAGTCCTTTATTTTTTGCATGGAATTCTGTCATGTGTTTAAGAAACGACTCCGTTATTCTGGATCTATAAAACCTTAACGCGGTATTGCATGAGTCGTTTATTAACACAAGCACATCCTCATGCGTAGTAACAAGCCATGTGTTGTGGTTTCTAGCGTGTGTCAGTTTCAACACCTTTGCTGGAGTGAAGTCATTTTCAATTTCCTCAAAATTGACTCCACTGTAGTCTGTCGTGGCTTCTAGCATTCTGTCTGGTGATACAGCAGATGCTCCTTGGACGTACCATTCCCTCCTCTCACCTCTCTCTCCTCTCATCCCTCCCTCCTCTCACCTCTCCCTCCTCACACCTCTCCCTCCTTTTAACTCTCCCTCCTCACACCTCTCCCTCCTCTCACCTCTCTCTCTCTCTCACCTCTCTATCGTTTTCTTTGCTTCTGCAGGTGTCTCATGTGATCAACTCTCTATCCTTCGGTGCTAAGTTTCCTGGCCTAGTCAACCCCTTGGACGGGTATGTGGACTTCTTGCTTCTTGTTTGGGTGACGTTCAAGAATTCTATAGGCTACATACCTCCTGGTTTGGCAATTTTGGGGTTGCTTTGGCTAGTGACCTGTCTGGGTGGGTGTGTGGCTGGACACACGCTTGAAGTAAGTTGTGTGCTGTGAAATAAATTGTGTGCTGTGAAATAAATTGTGTGCTGTGAAGTAAATTGTGTGGTGTGAAATAAATCGTGTGCTGTGAAGTAAATCGTGTACTGTGAAGTAAATCGTGTGCTGTGAAGTAAATCGTGTGCTGTGAAGTAAATCGTGTTCTGTGAAGTAAATCGTGTGCTGTGAAGTAAATCGTGTGATGTGAAAGCGAGGATCTCATGAAGAAAAAAACCAAACCCCAAGGGTTTGGTTTTGGGGGGTTGCGAAAATTGCGAGGTGTGGTGAGGGGTGTTGGGGGGGCTCTGTTACTTTTTTCGCTTATTTCGCCAACCCAAAGCCAAACCTTATGGATTTGGTTTCGCGCTTCTTGATATCCTCGCTTTAAGTTGATTGTGTGGTGTGAAGTAAATTGTGTGCTATCAAGTAGATTTTGTGCTGCCTGATGTATCGCATGTTTGTTCGTATGTTGCTTAACATGTTGTGTGCTGCTTTGTTATCTTGCATGTGGCAGGGTGAAATGGTTACAGGAGAAAGACACTGGCATGTATCAATACTTCATTAAGGTAAGGTTCTATTGCCTTTGAAGTCACCTTATCGGACATCTCGTTACAGGAGAAAGATAATGGCATGTACCAATACTTCATCAGGGTAGGGCTCTATAGCCTTTTAGGTCAACTTAAAAGACATTTCTTTACAGGAAAAAGACACTGGTAATACTTTATCAAGGTAAGACGATGATGCTATATTGCTCGTTGGTAATGCCATGTTTCTGCGGTTTTAAGAGGTATTACGCCATGCCATGTTGCATGTATGCTGGACAGGATTGAGTGACGATCTTAATGACGCATTCCACAATCATCACTGTGTGCATATCATGTGACTATTTTGCCTCTTGCTGCGCAATGATCCCTCCTCGTGTCTCACCCCTCCTCTCTTCTCACCCCCCTTTGTCTTCCTAACCCTCGCTCTGCTCACTCCCCCAAGCAGGTTGTGCCTACTCTGCACACTGGTGTTACACTCACACGTTAGTGAAGCACGCTCGTTAAAGGGAACGTTAAATAACATGTTAATTTAGGTTAGCGTGGCCCTAAAAAACGTTAGGGACCAACTTGGCATTAAGGCACTCTTGAGACGTCTTTAAATGCTTCCGCCTCCCTCCTGCCTTTTTGAACCTAGTTCTCCGCCCTTCCAAGCAGGCCGTGCCTACTCTGTACACTGGCGTTTCATCCCCTCACGCACTCACTCTCGGTGCATGGAGATAGAAGTTTAGTTTCATCACTGGCGTTTCAACACCCGGAGATAGACATCTCAAAACTAGATTAGCGTTTCAACCCCTGCCCCGCGCACTCACTCGGACTCGCGGTGCACTTATGCAGCAAACGCCAGTTTCGTTTTAAGACGTCCATCTCCAGATGCATGCTTGAGACTAAAACGTTTTGAGGCGTCTCTAAATGTTTTCGTAGGCGCAGCCTGGAGATGGGGCACAGCCTGCCAGGCGTGTTCTTCTTCTTCTCCCTCCTGCCTGTTTTAACTCTGATCTCCCTCCTTCAAAGCGTTCCACTGGCGTTCCATCCCCCACTCTCTCACTCACTCACTTGATGTGCACTGATGCCTCAAACCGCACTCAACCGCTTCCGCCACATCATGCCGCTCAATATTACCTCATCTCAGTTTGATTTCTGATCCCCTCCGTCCCAAGCAGGTCGTGCCCTGATCCCCACCCTACACGTGTGGTAGTAGTAATCGTGGTTTGAGGCATCTCAAAACACCCTCTCGTTCCTGCCTGTAAATAAAAACTTTGAGCTCCCCCTCCCCATGCAGGTTGTGCCAACGCTGTACACTGACGGCACTAACCACACCATCTCCACCAATCAGGTACATTCAATCACACCATCTCCACCAATCAGGTACATTCAAACACACCATCTCCACCAATCAGGTACATTCAACCACACCATCTCCACCAATCAGGTAAACTGCCGACACACCATTTTCACACATCATGTACGTCCAACAAAAATACGGTAACTTCAACCTCACACCAATCAGGTAGCTTCATCCACGCTGTTGTTAATGGACTAAGGGTAGCCATCAGAGATGGGTCACTACCTGCCCTGCATGCCCGTCCCACTGACTCAGCGATGACTCGCTGACCCTCGCTGCTCCATCGCCTCCTCCCTCCCCCCGGCTCTCAGTGATGGACCATTTCTCGCCACAGGAGATGGATCGCCAACTGCCCGGACTTAACGCTCTTGCTGCTCCCACTGCGTGCAGCCCTGACTGACTCAGCGGTCACCCTTCCCCTTTCTCTGTTCCACTGCGTCCTCCCTCCCCCCAGTTCTCAGTGACCGAGCATTTCTGGCTGCGGGAGATGGATCAGCAACCGCCTTGCCCTAACGCTCTTGCTGCTCCCACTGCGTGCATTCCTGGCTGACTCAGCGGTCAGCCTTCCCCTTCTCTGTTCCACTGCCTCCTCCCTCCCTCCAGTTCTCAGTGACCGAGCATTTCCGGCCATCGGAAATGGGGCACAGCCTGCCAGGCGTCTTCTTCTTCTACGATCTCTCGCCCATCAAGGTACATTTGTCTCCTTCTGTGCTGTGGCTGTGTATATTGCTGCTCTCTCTCCTCCTTTACCATTCACACACTCCCCCTCTGTTGCTCCCAGGTTCGCTTCACAGAGCAGCGCCCGCGGCCCTTCCTTTTTTCACTGGTGGTTGTGTGCATGCGTGCCAATGCATATAAACATTGTATCCACTCCCCCCTCACACTCACCTGCATCCTCTCCCACCCAGCGGCACACATCCTTCCCTTCCTCACTGATGGCTGTGTGTGGGCATCTGAGTATTTAACCATTCACATGCATCCCTACGCTTCCACGTGTCTGCTGTACCCTGCACATGCATTCCTGCACTTCCACGTGTCTGCTGTACCCTGCACATGCGTCCCTGCACTTCCACGTGTCTGCTGTTTCCCAGGTTCGCTTCACAGAGCAACGCACGTCCTTCCTCCACTTCCTCACCAACGTGTGCGCCATCATAGGAGGTGAGAACGGTTGGACGGTGACAGGGATTACAGGTCTGATGGTTAAGGGCAGGCTTTATGCTCAAGGGCAAGTATTCGCTTCACAGAGCAACGAACATCCTTCCTCCTCCACTTCCTCACCAACGTCTGCACAACCATAGGAGGTGAGAAGCGTGGTGTTTAAGAATTCTTAAAAACCCATTCAATCATAGGAGATGAGAAGCGTGGTGTTTTTTAAAAAAGGATTCGTTTGTTCTGAGGCAATTTGCTCGATTCGCAGAGCAACGCACGTCCTTCCTCCACTTCCTCACCAACATGTGTGCCATCATAGGAGGTGAGAACGGTTGAACGGTGACTGGGAGTGAGAAGCCTGATGGTCAAGGGCAGGACTTCTAATCATGGGTAGAGTATTCGCTTCACAGAGCAACGAACGTCCTTCCTCCACTGCCTCACCAACGTCTGCGCAAGCAGTTGTAGGAGATGAGAAGCATGGCTTTCATAAAAAGGGTTCGTTCGTTTCGTACTAAGGCTATTTGCTCGATTCACAGAGCAACGCGCGCTTCCTTCCTCCTCTTCCTCTCTCACCTGTGTGCAATCGTAGGAGGTGAGTTGTTGGTGCTCATACAAAAGCAGGTTGGTTTCGCTAATGTAAATTGCTGGATTCATGGAGCAACGTGCATCCTTCCTCCACTTCCTCACTAACCTGTGCACAAGCGTGGGAGGAAGTGAGAAGCTGCATGGTGATTGGGAGTCTATTTTTGAGGCACCTCAAAAATAGTCTCCTCACGCATGTGATCGGGAGTGAGAGGCTTGGCTGTCGTGGGAGGTGCGGGGCCTTCCTCCACTTCCTCACAAAAGAGCAGTGGAATTTTTCTACTTAGAATGGCTCTTGCACGCTCTTGCCTTGCTTGCATGAGTGTTCACTGTGACTGGTATTGTTGATGCACTGGTGCACTGTGGACACGAGACAGAGGCTTGGCTATCATGTGAGGTGAGGGGAATTTCCTCCACTACCTCACAAAAGGGCCTTGGGGTTTTCTACCGAGAGTAGCTGTTGCATGTCCTTGCCTAGCTTGCATGAGTGTTCACTGTGACTGGTATTGTCGATGCAGTGGTGTGCCATGGACACAACGCTGCTCTGTAGGGCTTTAATTTCTACTAAATACAATCGTTCGTTTGCCCACCCTTTGTCTTCCTTGCAGGAGTGTTCACTGTGACTGGTATTGTAGATGCCGTGGTGTACCACGGACACAAGGCTATAAAGAAGAAGATGGAGCTGGGAAAGCTCAACTAAAAGCATGGCTTTGCTAGAAGTAGAAGGGCAAGTCTACCTCTTACGTGCCAAATCTGCGAAATGGTGCCGTTTACACTACAATATATATTTGGCAAACTCATCACACAAAAGTGATGGTCTTGTGCTCCAACATGTTAAAAGTGGAGCTATACTCGGTCTGTCAAACATATTTGGGTATGTTTAGTAGACTACATAGGGCCTTGCCATAGAGAGACCAACCCACTAGCTATATACCCCTGTATACTCTCATTCTAGTTAACACTTCTAACTCTGAGATGGTATCATGAGTAGGTTAGGTCCCCCCTGCCCACCCGCGCTTCCACCTTAGGTCCTAGCCTGCCGCGTCGCCTAGCGCCTAGCTGCCCCACGGGCCCCGCTGCCCCGTTGCCTTGCTGGCCCCACGGCCCCGTCACCTAGCGCCCAGTCGCCCGTGGCCCTGTCGCCCCGTCGCCCAGCGCCTAGCCGCCCTGCTAGCCCCGTGGCCGCGTCTCCCCTAGCGTAGCCTCCCTGCCGCCCCGTCGCCTAGCCGCCTCGTCGCCTAGCCGCCCCGTAGCCTAGCCGCCCCGTCGCCTAGCCGCCCCGTCGCCTAGCCGCCCTGTCGCCTAGCCGCTCCGTGGCCCCGTAGCCCAACCGCCCCGCGGCCTCGTCGTCCAGCCGCCCCACGACCTCGTCGTCCAGCCGCCCCGCGGCCCCGTCGCCCCGCTGCTCCGCGGCCCCGTCGCCCAGCCGCACCGCGGCCCCGTTGCCCCGCTGCTCCGCGGCCCCGTCGCCCAGCCACCCCACGGCCTCGTCGCCCTGCTGCCTCGCGGCCTCGTCGCCCAGCCGCCCCGCGACCCGTCACCTCGCTGCTCCGCGGCCCCGTCACCCAGCCGCGCCGCGGCCCCGTCGCCCGGCCGCCCCGCGGCCCCGTCTCCCAGCGGCTCTGCCGCCGTGTTTCCCGGTCCCTGCCCGCTTCACCGGCCCTCTCCACCGTCCTGCACCGCGCCCCACCGTGCTGCACCGCTCAGCACCGCACTGCACCACGCCCCACCACACTGCACTGCGCCCCACCTCACTACACCGCACTGCACCACGCCCCACCGCTCTGCATCGTGTGGCACTGCACTGCACGGAGCCCCACCGCACACCACCGCACTGCACCGTACAGCACTCCTCCCTACTGCTCCTCGTCGCTCCTTCACCGCCTGTTCGCGGCTGCAGCGGCCTTCATGACGGACTTGGTGATACGCTTTGACGTGGAGGGTCAGCCGGTTGAGTTCGAATCATGGCTCGTTGACCTCCGCCGTCACCTCACTGGTCAGCGGCAGGACGGCCAATCCCTAGGCGTCCACATTGATGGTACGCTCCTTGCCCTGACCCCCCTGTTGCTCTCCCCACTGACCCCACGTCTGCTGACCGTGAGTCCGCCGCCGATGCTGCCCTTGCCCGTGCTGTCTAGCTGTCGCGTGACGCTGTCGCTCAGCTCGCGATTAGCCATGCCCTCCCACTATCTGAGCGCCCCTGCTTTAAGTCGATCAAGACTTCGCACGAGTTCCTAGAGGCTGTTGTCGAGCATTATTCCACTCTGTCCTCTGCCTCTGCCGGTCGCCTGATCCTTCCCATGCTCTTCCCTGCTCTCGCGTCTTTCCTCACTGTCGCTGACCTGGCCATGCACCTGCACACGCTCGACGCTAGCTGGCGCGTTGCCTGCACTGAGGCCCAGCTTCGTGTGTTCCAGCCCCCTATCTGCTCTACCCTTTACCTGCTTGCCACCCGCCTCCCCGACCGCCTTACCATAACGGTAAGTACCAGCTCCAGACCGGTCCTCGCCACGGCCTCGTGGGCGGTAAGACCGGTCATACCCCTACTCGCTATTTCAGTCACCTGGACGACCTGTTTCGCCTCTGCTTCGGCCCCGTGCCGAACCTCCCCGACTGGCACAGTCTGCTCCGCCGTGGTGTTAGGATCTTTGATATGGACATGGATGAGATGAGCTGTGCATTGTATGTGCTGTATGTCGATGACTCTAGTGTGACCGGTTCCTATTACCCTGTGTTGCCTAGTGTCGGTGTGTCCAGTGTGCCTAGTTTAGGCTCCCCTGCTGCGTCAGGAGTAGGACCCTTTGCTTTGTTTAGCCTTAGCTCCACCCTAGCTCCTCCGCCCCCAACCGCCACTGCCGCGTTCTCCTTCACTCTCGACTCTGGCGCGTCTTGGTGTTTCTTTTGGGACCACACTACGCTTTCGCCGCTTGCCGTCCCTGCCGCAGTTACCCTTTCATACCCTTCCTCAGGCCCGGTACTCGCTCGTAGTTCCACCACTCTCCCCTATCCGGCAGCTCCTTTGGGCTCTCTTACAGGCCTGCATATCCCCTCGTTCTCTCAGAATCTAGTTGGTGTCGGCTGTCTTCAGGACCTCGGCGTCACCACTACGCTCCCTGGTCACGAGAGGTACGCTGTCTGTACCGAGGCCGCCACTGGTGCCCCCCTCACCACGTTCCCGCAGGACCCGGTGTCAGGCCTGTTCACACTGGACACCGCATCTCCCCGTGGTTGGGATGCCCCCCCAGGTTGCTGCGGCGTGCTCGTGTCGGTCGCTTACTCACCCGTCGCTTCTGTGGCACCACCGCCTAGGTCACCCCGCCCTCACACGTCTCCGTCACATGTCTCAGCACGGTCTTGTCTTAGGTCTCCCTGCATCGTTCCCTGCACTCCCCTCCTCGGCAACGCCTCTGTGCACCCCCTGCGACGAGGGCCGGCTCCGCCGTGCCCCTCACTCCTCCTCGTTCCACCCCACTAGCGCACTGTTACAGACCCTGCACATGGATGTCTGGGGCCCAGCCCCCATCCATGGGCCACGTCATGAGCGTTACTTCCTAGTGCTTGTCGACGACTACACTCGCTACACCACCGTGTTTCCCCTGGAGCGGAAGGCCGACATGCCCGACATTCTTATCCCGTGGCTTGTCTCTGCGCGTGTGCACCGAGGTCTCCCTGTGTTGCGTCTTCACTCCAACCATGGTGGCGAGTTTGCCTCTGGCTACCTTGGTCGCTTATGTCGTGCGGAGGGCATCACCCAGACATACACCCTGTTGGACTCCCCGCAGCAGAATGGGGCCGCTGAGCGACGCATCGGCTTGGTCATGGAGGTGGCTCGTACCTCCATGATCCACGCCAGTTCACCCCATTTTCTGTGGCCTTTCGTCGCTCGCTACGCCGCCCACCAGCTTAACTTGTGGCCACACCCTCAGCGGCCGCAGGTTTTGCGGACTCTCCCCTGGACCAGGTCTCCTGGTGACACGTTTGCATTCCACGTCTGGGGCTACCTTGCTCACGTTCGTGCCTCTGGCACGGACAAGCTTACTGCCCGCACCATCCCCTGTGTCTTTCTAGGTTTCCCCCTCGACTAAACTGACTGGCACTTCTATCACTCGCCATCTCACCGTTTCTTTCACTCTCGCGACGTCACTCTTGACGAGTCCGTCTCCTTCTACCACTGGTTTCCCCACCGTTGTCCCCCGGTCATCCCCCCCAATTTCAGGTTCCCCCCACTCCCCCGATCGCCCCAGTTCCCCCCCCTCCCCACCCTGCCCCGCCTGGTGTGTCTCACATCACCCCCCTCCCGTCGGTTGTCCCTACAGAGGGGTCTGCTGACTCTCGCGGCTCGGCGGATTCCCTTCCCCCGCCTGTCCCTGCCCCGGTCTCTCCTCCCTGGTCGCCGCCGTTGCTGTCACAGCCTCAGCCACCTCCGCAGCTGCCGTCGCCGCCGCAGCCGCAGCCGCCGTCGTCACCGCCGCTGGGGTTTGTGCATTCTAGGGGTGTTGGGGAACGTGCCGGAGCGGGTACTGGAGCGGGTTCCCGTTCTGGGGGTGCTGGCATGGGGCTTCACGGAGGGAGCCATGGTCCTGGTGGAGGTTCAGGTGTTGGCGTCGGGCAGCAGTCGTCGCAGCCGCCGCTGGTGTCCGCTCTTCGCCTCCTGCGCCGTCCTTCTCCTGACCGCCCGCCGGTGCCTCCTCAGTTGCCGCCACCTCCTCCTCTGCCGGTCTGCGGCCCTGTGTTTCCTCCCGCGGACTCTTCCTGGCTCGTTTCCCTCCTCGTTCTCCTCTTGTGTCTCCTCCCCTCTCTCCTGACCCAACTTCCCGTCTCACGTCTGGGCTCGTCGTCGGTCTCGTGCTCGTCCTACCTCCCCTGTTCCGCGTTCTCACCCTATGTTGCTTCGCTCCCACGCATCTCGTGCTCCTCCGCTCCTCCCGTCTCCTCCTCCGTCGTCGCTCACTGTGGCCCCGCCTCCGTTTTCTGACTTCCTCTGTGCCGCGCGTCCCCTTGTTCCTCGTGTCCTTGCCTCTCTTGTTACTGACCCGTCCATTCCTGTCTCGAGTCTGTCGTCTCTTGTTGCTGATGTCACTGACTTCGCAGCTACCTGCCGCCTTGACTACGCCACGGCTCTGGTCTCTGACCCTGCCTGCCCTCCGTCCGTCGGGGGTGTGGCTGCCCTTGGCAGTGACGTCCTAGAGGACAGACAGTACGAGCTTGCTTTCTTGTCAGCGGCCACTCCCCATCTCTGTTCCATGCTGCTAGTCCCTGAGGGTGACCCAGATGCCTTTGATATCCCGATCCCTCGCACCTTCGCAGAGGCCACCTCGGGACCCTGGGCCTCTCAGTGCATAGCTGCCATGGAGCAGGAGATGGCATCTTAGAGATCCACCGGTACCTTCGTCGACGCAGTTCCCCCACCTGGGGTGAACGTAGTCCATGGCCGATGGCTCTTCAAGGTGAAGCGCCCTCCTGGAGAGCCGCGTGTCTTCAAGGCGCGCTACGTTGCTCGTGGCTCCAATCAGCGTGAGGGGGTTGACTTCTTTCAGTCCTTCACGCCGACCCCGAAGATGACTACTCTTCGGGTACTGCTACACGTAGCAGCACTGCGTGACTACGAGCTGCACTAACTCGACTTCTCCACAACTTTCCTCCAGGGCAGTCTACACGAGCAGGTCTACCTGCGCCACCCCCCTACGCAGAGCTGGTGGGTTGCCTCATGTACTTGATGACTTGCACTCGTCCAGATCTCGCATACCCTCTCACCATCTTGGCCCGCTTTGTGGTCTCCGGCAGACACCGACCACGGCACTGGTTTGCAGTTAAGAGGGTTTTGCGCTATCTAGCAAGTACATCGGGCATGGGGCTAGTGCTAGGAGGATGCACACAAGTGGTCCTTACCGGGCACACAGATGCTTCTTGGGCAGACGACACCGAGACTTTCAGGTCCTCCTTGGGCTACCGCCTTAG